TCTTTGCTACAATTGAAATTGCCTGAGGTCTTCCTTTGGTTTTCCTCATTTGTGACAGATCTCTTGTTTTTCTCTTTAGTTCTGTTATTCAGTGTCAGTGGGAGAGGCTTTCCCTTATGATGTTTGCTCAATCCTCTATTCTTCTCTGATCTGGACTTTTGATTTGTTCTATTTTGAAATAGGACAGTTGATGGGAAGCTTTGCTGTTTCTTTTAGTTTTTGAAATTCAATTAAAGTAGGGGATGGGGCACTAGAATTCAGAAGCTATTTGCAAATTGCAGTGTTCACTTATTGTGGTATGTGTTCCCTGAGACGCAGTCCCCACCACCACTCTATATGATGATGCAAAGCAGAAACTGATGCAAAAAAAATAGAACACACATACACACAGAGACATGCATACACACCCCAAAACAAACTCGAATAACAACAAAGTGAAACAAAACAAACAATAAAAAAAAAAACCAAGAAAACTACACACACACACACACATGCCTAGTATAAAGTGAATAGAGAAGCAAACAGAAAGACTGGAGGAAGAAAAATAAATGGAGTTCAGGTCGAATCCTCACACATATATTGACATACACTATAAACTATAAAAAATGAAAATTAAAAAACCCCAGAAGAACAAAAGAGCAAAAACAAACCAACAACAACAAAATTGAAAAATGATTACTTAATCGTTCACATACACATATAAACAGAAAATGACAAATAAAAGAAGAAACAGAGAAAGAAAAGAAAAAATTCTTAGGGGGAGGGGAGCAGATCAAACCCTCACATGCGCATTCAAAGGAAAAATATTTAAAAAATTGATGAACTAACAAAGTCAAAAATTATTTCACTTTTTTCAATTGAAAGTTAAAAAATAAACCTGTCCTCTTGTGGCAGGCTCTGTAGAGCCACCTCTTGCACTCTCTCCTCAGTGTACAAAGCAGGGAAGGAGGAGGGGCAGTGGAGGTGGGTGGGACTGCAGTCCTCCCCTCCCACTCTCATATGGTCAGGGAGATCTCCAGTGAGGAGGTGCAGGATTGTATCTTCCCCAGGTATGTACCCCCAGGGGGTGCCCCAGCCTGGTCTATCCTGGAATGGAGCTCTCCTGTTGCAACTGATGTCCAAGCTCTGCCTGGGTTTATCCCTCTCAGTTGTGGCCCAGCTGTGTGGGTCTGATGTTTAGAGGATTGCTGGGGAGGAGGGAGTTTGAGTCAGCCCTGGACTCACCAATGAACTCTTTGGAGTCCTTCCTTGTCCTTCTCTGAGCACACCCTTTGTCCCAAGGCTGGATCAGGGTAAGGGGTGTTCATCTGGAACTCAGTACTCCTCAGGTCCCTCTGAAGTTTGTGCTTTCAGGATATTGCCTCTGGGTCATGAGCAATCCCTGAGTAGTTGATCCACCAATCACAGAGATTGGGTCTGTTGCTCCGTGGTGAATGAGTTGGAGCACTTTCCTGCCCCACCTTCAAGATGGTGGTAGGTCACCTCTCTTGTTCTCTTCCATGGGACCTTGCCTCTGGACTCCCTCTTCAGTGCCTGCTGGCAGTGCTCTGCCAGACACTGAAGTGGTGAGGCAAAGACAGGAGCCAGCAGTCTCTCTTCTGCTGTTTCAGTGACGGACAGCCTGAGGCAATATTTTCTCCCCCACTTTTTTCCATTAAAAAAAATAATGCTTGGCTTCTGTGACCTGTGAAGAGCCAAGGATGAAGCAGAGAAGCTGCAACACTAGCTGTTGCACTAGGGGCCTGGCCACTTGCTCACAAGCTCCTACTTTGTCTCTCCCAGCATTTTCTTCACAGGGAGGGTTTGTTGATTTAAAAAAAAAAAAAGAAAGGAAAAGAAAATGATCAGCCAGTTTCCCCAGCACCATTTACTGAATAGGTTCTCCTCTTCCCAGTGGTAGGTGGTGGAGGCTTTGTCGAAGATGAGGGTTATCCCCGTACACAAAAATTAACTCTAAATGGATCAGAGACCTAAATGTAAAACCTCAAACCATAAGAACCTTAGAAAAT